GAAAGAGGAAGAGCAGCGAGTCAGAGGAGATTGGTGTTAGATGGAACATTCCAGAAGGGCCCCTCCAGGAAGGGGTGACTGCACAGTGACGTGGACTTTGCGCACATTCCAGGTACTTTCCATGTGTCACCTAACTTAATCTTCTCCGCAGCCCGAGAGGGTCAACACTTGGTTAGCATTCTCACTCGACAGGTGAGGAAGGCGAGGCACAAAGGGGTTAGGCTCAAGGTCACACAGCTAGGAAGGGACAGACTGCCTGGCTCCAAAGTCCCCCCCCCCCCCTCTTGCCTGGGAACTAGCCCCGTGGCCAGAGGGCCTTCTGTTGCTTGCGTTTCTTCTCAGACCTGGGACTCTCTCCATCCTATGGTCGCTTGCCTTCTGGGTCTCCTGGTCCCATGCATGTTGGCTGACCTACGTTCTCGCAGATTCCAAGAGAGAGCTCACCGCAGAAGAGAGGTCTGGTATCTAAAGGTCACCATCCCTTTGGTGAAGCGAGCCAACTAAACACACACATACACACACACACACACACACACACAACCCAGTTCCAACGCCTGGTGAAGGGCCGCGGAGGGATGACAAGGACCTGCTGCAAAGTCGTGCCCCCGCCCCCTGTCCCCTCGGCGGGGAGGAAGCGCGCTCCCGGAGGACCCGGAAGAGGGGGCTGAGGAGGGCTCGGGGTTCCGACCCTGGGCAAAGGGGCCTCTCGCAGGGCCACTGCCCCTATTTCTGGACGGGGAGTGGGCCCAGGGGCGACTTTGGGCTCCACCGCCTCCCACGCGGGGTTATATAAGGAGACAAGCCTGCTCCTCTAGGTAACCGGCCCCTCCTCTCTGGCCCAGCTCAGTTTAGAAGGCTCTCTTCTGTCCCTCGCTCTAAAGGACACTGGGGGAGCTGGGCCTAGGCTCAGACCGCTGAACCCCGTGGAGGTAGAGCCAGGCTTTGCCTGGGTCTGTGGGAGGAACTAGGAGAGGAAGGACCCCAACTCTTCCGCCGGGATGCACGGGCCAGCGCCGGGCTGGAGAAGCAGGCGCGAAGGGTAAAATCGGGCAGGTCTCTCTTGGGCCAACTCCCGTTGCAAGGTTGCTTGGCCCCTGCCCCGTGGGCTGCATCCCAAAGCCGGGCTCAAGCCTGACCACGAGTGTCAGGTCTTGCGTCCAGCGTGGGCTTGCAGACTGTGGGTGTGGAGACCTGGTTCACACGCTGGTGGCCTCTCAGTAGGGTCTTGGTTTGGGGACGATTGGTAGTATCTGATTGTCATTTCAAGACCTTGATACGAACTGAGTTCACTTATCATCGCCCTTCCCCCAGCCTCCCTTCCCTGAGGGTTTAAAAAGAAAAAGAAAAAAAGCACCACCTCTCATTGCTCTCATCTCTCCAGCAGAGCTAACAGCAGCTGAGATGGATGGCTTATCTTCCTTTGCAGGTTTCTAGGGGAGAGTTTAAGCAGGTATCAAGTGCAAGCGTGCCTCTGATTGTATATAAACCCCAGGACTAGGGAAGAGGAGCAGGATCTATTCCGGTGCCTCTGGGAGGGTGAGATTTTGCCTTGTTTAAAGCAAGAGGGTGGATTTCTCAAAGGCTCTTCTGTTCCCGTCTATGTTGGCCTCGGTTCAGAGCTGCAGGCAGTTCCAGAATCTTCCTGAAGAGCTGGGTGCTATGTGATTTGTAAGAGTGCTACAAGGCATTGGGGTGGAGGCCTGGGACTTTCTCCTTGCTAGGTAGCGGCCACCTCCAGGATGATGTGCAAATAAGTGATGGCAGGGTCAACAGGAGCGCTGGTCTCTCTGCTCAACCACTGCTTGGCTTGTGCAGCCACCAGGGTGCAAGTGCTTCTCGCAGTCTCCCTTATGCCCGCCGGTTGCTGTCGCCCCACCCTCCTTCCTCCACCTGTTTGCAGGATGTGTGGGCATGGTTTCCAACCTGCAGAGCCCTTGGCAGAACGGGAAGGGCTGGTGGTGCCCTGGGCCGCTCTCTTGAGAGCGTCTCCCCTTCCAGCAGCCCCCCCTCCTCCCCAAAGGCAGGGGCCAGTGCCTTCCAGGTTGGCCCGCTCTGCATTCATTCAAGCCCAGCGCACTTGAGCAGTCTGAACTGGGACTGAGGGCAAGTTAGTCTTTTCTGCTGCACTATGCAGTTTGCCTCCCCCCCTCCCGCCCCCCCCCCTCGCCTAGTGAATTATGCCTGCAACTGAAATGGAAGGAAGAGGAAAACAGAGCGAGTGTGTGTGGCGATGTGTGTGCTCATACCTATACAGGCAGGGGGAGAGCAGCAGGCACATTATTTTTCCATTTTCCTTTAATTAAGGCTCTGTGGAGGTGTGTTTGAAAACAGAGGGTCTCCTATGCCTGCGAGGAGGGTGAGAACACTGTTTTGGCTGCGGCCCGGGCCATATGCAGCGTATGGTGGCCAATGAAACTGGGCCTGGCTCGTCTGTTGCTTGTCTTGGCAGTCAGTTCCGTGGCTTGTGTTACCAGCTCTGGAACTTAAGGGCTGCCAAGCTTCATGTGTGTGTGTATGTGTGTGCTCGAGTGCACACGTGTGTGTGTGTGTGTGTGTGTGTGTGTGTGTGTGTACACTCTGGTGCGAATGTGTGGTTTGGCCTCTCGGAGCCCAGCAGAGACAAATGCCTTAGCGACCCGGGCTTAGAATTCTCAGCCTGTGTTTCTTTATGCCCCTGAGTGGCTGTAGGAGGTACAGCTAGAGCCCTTCGTTCTTGGAGGTTTTTCCGCTCTATTTTCTCCCTGCAGCCCACGGGATCTCAGCTCCGGAGCTCCGTGGCCAAAGCCTGAACTTGCCAGTGACATTTTTTTTTAAAAGGGCCAAACCATTTATAACACCCTGTGTGCATTCAGTGCCAGGTGTTGTCTTATTCACTGCTGACACGGAGGCAGAATAGAGCCGCTGGGAGAGGAGAGAGAACCCTGTGGCCTTCTTATTTCTGGCTGCTGGAGACCAGCGTTCCTGACAGAAACGACTTCCTGTGTGTTTACTGAGCATCTACACTGGGCAGAAGAGAACACAGTGTTTGGAGGGCAGGCCTGTGGAAAGCATTACTCTGGTCTTCACGGAAGACCAGGGGTCCCCGCTGGGCATGTGGCTGGGACAGCGATGTGGGGACAAGGCCTGCCAGTGGCTTCTTCTGAGCCCCCTGACCTTTCCTTATCTTCCTATGGGGACCCGAGGAGTGACCCTACCCACCCAAGTGCAGGGAAACCGTGGTCAAAAAGGCACAAAAGAGGAGGCAGAGGTGGCCCCGCCGCCTGTTGGAGGGGCCTCCCCAGTGACGTGTGCAGTGGGGGTCTGGGCAGCAGGGTGGAGGAGATAGCTGTCCACTGAGGGAAGCAGCCATTCTTTCTGCTTCTTGTGCCTGCCCCCTTTTGTGTCTCTCTCTATGGCATGTGCCTGGATCCGGGATGGCCTTCCCACTGGGGGATTTTAGGGCTGGAAAGAGGAAGAGCAGCGAGTCAGAGGAGATTGGTGTTAGATGGAACATTCCAGAAGGGCCCCTCCAGGAAGGGGTGACTGCACAGTGACGTGGACTTTGCGCACATTCCAGGTACTTTCCATGTGTCACCTAACTTAATCTTCTCCGCAGCCCGAGAGGGTCAACACTTGGTTAGCATTCTCACTCGACAGGTGAGGAAGGCGAGGCACAAAGGGGTTAGGCTCAAGGTCACACAGCTAGGAAGGGACAGACTGCCTGGCTCCAAAGTCCCCCCCCCCCCCTCTTGCCTGGGAACTAGCCCCGTGGCCAGAGGGCCTTCTGTTGCTTGCGTTTCTTCTCAGACCTGGGACTCTCTCCATCCTATGGTCGCTTGCCTTCTGGGTCTCCTGGTCCCATGCATGTTGGCTGACCTACGTTCTCGCAGATTCCAAGAGAGAGCTCACCGCAGAAGAGAGGTCTGGTATCTAAAGGTCACCATCCCTTTGGTGAAGCGAGCCAACTAAACACACACATACACACACACACACACACACACACACACACACACACACACAACCCAGTTCCAACGCCTGGTGACTCCATAGGTATCAGACTAGAACTATGCTCCTCAGGGTGGTCAGTGATTGCGACCTCTTAGAAATGAGGTGGCCAGGCTTTTCCTCCAGGGCACCTCTGGGCAGACTCAAACTGCCTGCCTTCCCATCCCTCTTGGGCTCCTATTCCTTGCAGCCGATTTCCTCTCGGGGATCTTCCCAGGCTTCTTGCTGAGTCTCAGTTGCCAGCTGCCTGCTCTTGACTTCCAACCTTACTTACTCTGGAACCTTGATCTTGGGACTGCCATTCTCTGCCCGTCCACCTTGCTTTGTGGCCTGCCCTCACTCAGCTTCACTTTCTCTAGGGTGGGGAAGTACGTGCCACCTGGGGCCACTGAAGCCACTTGCACCCACCTGGCTCCTGAGACCAGTGCAGGGCAGCTGCTTATCTGAAAGGGAGCTAACCATCTCCAAAAGGCCCAGGGACTCATAACGCCAACAAACCAAAACCAAACTCGCTGCCATTAAGTCAATACTGGTTCATAGTCACAGCAACCCTGTAGGACAGGGTAGAACTGCCGGGTGAGTTTCCGAGGCTGTACCTGTTTACAGGAGGAGAAAGCCCCATCCTTGTCTCACAGAGCTGTTGGTGGGTTTGAACTGCTGACCTCGCAGATCACAGTCCAACACGTAACCACGATGACACCAGGGCTTCTCAGAAACGTGTAGCCTCCCTGAGATCTTTATATCTATGGACAGGACATTCAGGATGCAGAGCCTATTTCTTTAAATCTGTTTTGTTGTTGTTTTAAACCAAACAAAACTTGCTTTACCATTCTGGTGACCATGCTGATTATTTGACACTTCCTAAGCATAGCCCTGTACAGATTTGACCATCGAGGCAAAATCAGTCTTCAGTTATAGAGGCATTCCTAGTTTTTGAAATGAGATTCAAAGTATCTCACAGATCTCTAGTAAATCCAAGCAAGGGTAAGTGTGAGGAGTGGGGGGGGGGGGGGCGTAAGCTGCCTCAGCCTTTTCTTCCTCGGGAAATGACCTTTCAGCAGGACCTGAACGGACCAGTATATTGTTTCCTTTATGGCTGTCTGGTCCTACATCTCCCACCCAGGGCTCAATGGCATGTGTCTATGCGTTTCTGAGGAAGTCGGGAGAGAGACAGATGGGCCGATCTTTCTCCAGGCTCCTGCTTCTTGGCTCCAGCAGGTCCCTGTCTCCTGTAAACTGGCATGTAGGGAGCTGCATCACGGCACCCACCATGTAGGGTCCACTGCGACCCCTGAGCCCTTTCTGTCTTATTAATGCCTTCTGTGCCAAGCTCCTCCTTGGGTTGGTGCTTTACCCAACTTCTCCTCGTGGGCTAGTTTCCAGGCGATTCCTGGTCAGTGCCCCATGTTGCCAAAGTCCTTTTGGATTCTAGGCCTGCCGAACTCCATTTCCCACTGCTGGCCTCCCGCCAGCATCTAGAACAGGCTCTTTATTTGTGCCTCCCGGTTCCTAATGGAGATGTGAAGGGTGTTGGGCCCTGAAGGGAAAAAGAAAGAAACACACCACTCCGGGTGCTTCTCCGAAAGCTTTTAGTGTGTAATTTCTCCTTTCCCTCAGAAATTGTTTCCATATGGAACTGGCCGTTGGATGGGGTGACTTCAGCCCCTGCCATCTTTCCTACGTCTTCCTTGAAGTGGGCAAATTCTTCCTGGCTGCTCTCCCGCCTCTGCCCGCCCCTCCTTTTATTGATCCCTGAGTCACATCAAATTATTTTCTTTTTTTTCAAGTCACCAAACTTGACTTTCAGCTTTAGATCGCAGGCCAGTTCGTTGCCGCTAATGAGGATCTGATTAGCAAAGGAAGCAGCCACTCGAGCACCTCCCGTCTTCTGGGAACCCCCTCCCCGCCCCGCGCTGTTTAGGATGACTTCTCACAGGCAGTGAGCACCAGGCTGAGGAAGGCATGTGTGATGAGCTCGGTGGGGAGGGGACATAGGGGGGGGGGGTGAGATAGAAAAGGGGACTTTGGCTTCTGTAAAGGGAGTCTGATGCCTGGTCCCCCGAGACTCATGGAGGTGACTCACGGGAGCAGGAGGCTGTCCCGAGATGGAGCACGGCAAAGCATTGTGGGACCGCTGCTCCTAAGGGGTGGCTGCCCACGGTAGCGGTGGATCCCTTGCATGTCGGGATCCTTGTTTAGTGTCTCGTTTGTAACTGAGTGGAGTCTGGCTTCCCACTCCAAGGCATGGTGCAGGCAGAGATGCATGCAGAAGGCCCAGGGATGTTTTACGGGGAGTGGGACATGGGGTGGGGGTTGTTCAGTGGGAACGCAGGGCTGAGAGGTGACCCACAGCCTGGTCATGAGCACCTGGGTTTCCAGAGACAGGTTGTTCCCTCCTCACCGAGCTTGGCCCCGCCATGAACGTGTTCATCCCTCCATTGTATCTTCAGTTCATCAGGGATTTGGCGATGACCCTGGTTCTGCTAGAAGCTCTGCTCAGTGCTGGGGTCAAATGGGAGACCCACCAGCCCTGGCTGCTGCTTGGCTGCCAGCCTCTAGGACATGCATCCTTTATTCATGCATCCCATTTCCTAATGCAATTCTGATGGTGGTGAGCCCTGAAGGGAAAACAAACAAACAAACAAGCAAACAAACAAACACTGTTCTCCTTGGGGCTTACAGTTGGGGGAAGATCCGGGGCTTCTGGCCAGGGAGGGGCTGTGTCCTATGTCTGTGCCTTAGAGAGGGTGGCAGCCCCCCATCCCCTGTCAGGGGTCTGTATCCAGCACCAGGCACGGAGCCTCCCCCAGCCTCACTGCCACTTCTTTTGACTAGTTAAGCACTTTGTTGTTGTTGTTTTGGTCACTGACTCCTGGTTGCATCGTCCTGGTTGGAGTGAGGGGATTTTATAGGTTTTCTCTTCTGCTGAAATGCAGGTGGGAGTTGTGTCCCTTTGGCTCAGGTGACCTGGAATCACCCATGTGCTTGCTCAATGGCATCCTGGGCGTCCCCCTAGGGGTCCCTGCATTGGGCCCTTTCTTGTCTTCCCTGGAGGAGGGCTGGGGAGGCTTGCCCATGCACGGCCTCAGTGTACTGTGCCCTGCAATCCGAGAGGGCCCTGGACGCCCCTGCTGCTCAGGCGCAGGGGAGTATCATAGCACATTGGACATCACAAATGAGGAGTCACAAGGGCCATTTCTATGTCCGGCTTCCTCCCAGGTGGCTATGGGGTTGTTTAGGGCACCGCATGGGGGATTATTTCTGAAACCCTGGGAGACAGGGTAGAGGACCTCATCTGCAAGGGAATGGGCCTCCCTGAGGGCCCACATCTGAAAGACCACTGAGAGCAGGCCATTTTTCCTGCCGAAAAGTGTCAGCCCCTCTGGGACCCCCAGAGAGGAAGAAGCAAAGAGGACTGAGTGAGAATGCACTGGTCATAAACTCCAGGGAGCAGGAGTCTCACCCTCTCTGGCTGTATGACCTTGGGCAAGTCATGGGCTCCCTCTGAGCTTCAGCTTCCTCGTGTGCAAAATAAGGATGTGGTTTAGATGAGCCCAGGGCCTCCCTCCAGCTCAAAACCTTAGATATGAATGAATGAGTCCTAGATCCTTTTCTGACACGGCCCGGGGGTGGTGGCTGCTGAGGAGGGGGAGAAGGACGTGGGTGGGAAGGAGGGGCCAAGAGGACCCTGGGTGGGCGGTCGAGCCAGTGGAGCAGAGATGAAGGCCCTCAGAGGTACCGCCACCAGCTGCAGTGCAAGCAGGGAGCTCGGTGCAGACGGCTAGCTGGGCAGCTGCCGTGAGCTGACTGGGCATGAAATGGCAGGCTCCGTGCTGCTTTAGGTAAGCCCGTGGTGTAGGGTAGGAGTGTTTGTGGTCTGAGGGGGCCAATTCTCACATTCAGAACTATTGACAAAGAGACGCTGGAGCTGGAGAGGGGACCGTGTTTCATCTCTATTGATTGGCAAAACTGAAATGGGGGTGGGGGTGGGAGGGTGGGGGACGCAGCTTAGACTTGTGGCCAAAATGGACGTCCTAGTACATCCCTCTCTCGACAGCTAGACCTTAGGCAGGAGAGTGCTTCCAGGGCTGCTCCTTGGGAGACAGTCGAGATGGCACAGCCACACGAGTGTGTCACCTCTGCCCAACAGAGAAGGGTGGTCTGATGGAGAGCAGGCTGCCCCATCTCTTCACATATGCCCCTCTCTTCACAGGAGGAGGCGAGGGAAGGTGGGAGAATAGCCCGAGGGTTTCCCCTTCGTGTGCTCAGTACAGCGGCGGGTTTCTTTCCACAATCTTATGCAGAAATCTGGGGTTTCTCCTTGAAACTGGAATGTACCTGAACTCTACTTCAAGGCTGCTTAAAAGCCAAGGCTACACAGCTGATCTCCATCTCTCCGCAGCCTGGCTCCTTATCCGTGGTCAGTACCAGAATGATGGATGTGGGAAGATACATGGATGGAAGAATGGGTAGATGGAGATGGGTGGGCCAATGGGTGGTTGGAGGGATGGCAGGGGACGCTAGGGGACCAGATTCATCTGGTTTTACCGACAGACAAGCTTTCTTCACTATCATTTCAACCTTGAAGTGAGTAGTTCTTACCAACAAATTTCCCCCAGGAAAAAGAACGAAGACCTAAGAGTTGCTGTGGTGTTAGCTTGCCTGATTTCCTTCAGGCTGGACCCCGTCTTCCCTGGCCACCCTCCTGTCTGGCCAAACTAGAAGATGTGTTTGCTTTGAGAATGGGAGACAATGGAGAACTTCCTTTTCTTGGAAAGCCTCTGCTGATTAATTCCATCTCCTGTGCCTTAGTCTCATCTTCATAGAAACTGCACACACACACACACACACAGAGTCTCTCTCCACACTCTCTCTCTCACACACACACACACACACACACACAGTCTCTCTCCACACGCTCTCTCTCATACACACACACACACACACACACACACACACACACACACACACACACCGAGCACACACCGTACACTCCCTTTTAACTTAGCTTTGCTTCATCACGTATTCCGGCTGCCTTCACAGGAATGCAGAAGAGGACAAGTGATTTGCAGGGAGGCACCATGCCAAACCCAAAATAGCTCCCCTCCAACAGGTGCAAAGGTGCTTGAGATTCCGCAGCTCTCATTCATTCTCGGGGAGGCCGCGGGCTGCCCTTAAATCCCAGTTGCTTTGAACTATGCACACCCCCCAAGCAAGCTCTCTCTCCACACCTTGCCTTTCTCCGCTGTGGCAGGGAATCGCTCTGCCCACAATGCCTAGCACACAGCAGTGGCTGAATCGATGTGGCCCACCTTTGGGTTTTCGGGAGAAAGATGAGGCTGTCTGCTCCAAGACATTTATCGTCTTGGAAACCCCACATAGGGTCACTGTGAGTCCGAACCAATGCACCGGCTGGGTTTTTGCTGTTTGGTTTGGAGCCCCGGGGAGGTGCGAAATGCTAACCGCCCAGCTGCTCACCCAAAGGTTGGTGGCTCCAGTCCACCCAGAGGTGTCTTGGCGGAAAGTTCTGGCAATCTGATTCCAGTCGACTATGACGGACTTTTGCTTAATGATCGGGTTCAACATTTGAGCAGGGTCACTCTCTCGCTTTCCGTAGAAAAGGAAAGCAAAACAAAGCCAATACCCCTGCCCATGCCAAGTTCAGCATCGGTGTGAATTGTTAGACCAAGTGTCCCTCTAGCAGGATGGCCATAGGGGCAGGACGAGCCAATAGGTGGGTGGGTAGGGGGACTTCAGGGGCACATGAGTGACAGAGGGGCAGGGTTTTGAGCCCCTCCTGGAGCCTTGGGCTGGCTGACAGCGCTGTCCCCACTCTTTTCCCTCCCACCCCAGGCTGGACCACTGCTCCTGCTATGATGCCTGGGCAGATCCCCGACCCTTCGGTGACTGCAGGCTCTCTGCCAGGGCTCGGCCCCCTGACCGGCCTGCCCAGTGCTGCCCTGACCACGGAGGAGCTGAAGTACGCCGACATCCGCAACATTGGGGCCATGATCGCCCCCCTGCACTTCCTGGAGGTGAAACTGGGCAAGAGGCCCCAGCCCGTGAAAAGTGAGGTGAGCCAGCCCTGTACCCCAGCAGAGCTCGGGTCCTCACTCTGTGTGACTCAAGTGTAGTCAGAGGACCGACAGCAAGGCGAGACACGAACACAGTGATGGGGGCCTCAGCCACCCCCTGTGGTGCCTCCCTAGCAGGGGGTTACCCAAACACCCGCAGAGAGCACCCCTCGCCCCAGCCCTTGCAGTTGCAGGCCTCTTGAGCGCACTTGCAGAATAGCTTTTCTGGGGATTTGTGAGAAGTCCCCAGCTGACTCAGCACTGGCGCTGTCCACGTCCCCAGCCACTGGCCTAGGGCTGCCGGTGTGTGCTGGAAAGACCCCTAAGAGAACCAGGTCTTCAGAGGAGGCCTGCTAGGGTAGCTGCCCCGGGACAGGACGGGAGGGAGCTGGTGATGGAAGGTGAAAAGGTGGATGGGGTGGACTTGGGAGGGGAGGGGGAAGGACAGGGAAGAAACTGAGCATCAGACATCAAGTAGCTGTGTCAGGGGGGAGTGGTGGGTGTGTCTGGCTCTGGCTCAAGGCTCATCCTTGTTGTTTTATTTTGTAAGATCATTTTATTGGGGACTCTTACAGCAATTCATACATCAGTTATAATAAGTATATGTGTACCTATGTTGCAATCATTATTTTCGAAATATTTACATTCTATTTGAGCCCTAGGTATCAGCTCCTTTTTTCCCTCCCTCCTCCCTTCCACACTCGTGACCCCTTGAGAAATTATAAATGATTATTATTTTTATTTCTTACACCAACCGCTGTCTCCCTTCACTCACAGTTTCTGTTGTTCCTCCCCCCAGGGCTGTGTGTGGTTATGTGTCAATCACTGTGATTGGTTCCCTCTTCCTCCCCTCTCCACCCCTCCTACCTTCCCCCTCCCCTCCTGGTATCGCTACTCCCATTTCTGTTCCTGAGG